CTATGATTTGAATACTTGTCGTTAGTCTCATTGAGAGCAGGTTCGATAATTAAATACCGTATTTGAAAAAAAAAAAAAAAAATGTTTTTAATCCCACAAGCGAGTTTGAATTAAATTTTATTAAAATCGGATAAATATATCATATAGCTGCCATAGATCGGAAAGATCGAAAAATCCATATAGAAATTGACGGAAAAAAATAATAACATCGTTGTTTTTTATCAGACAATTATGATATTTTGTATTTAGAGTTTTTTAACACTCTTGAAATTCGAACGACTACTTCATATAGCTATCATATGAACAATAGTCGAAAATATGAAAAATTAATAGAAAAATCGCCATAGCTTCGATTTTATTTAGCCTTTATGTATATACAGTCGAATCCCGATAATTCGTTCCCCTAAATCGAAAATCGCGATAATTCGTAAAAAATTCTGTCCCCTTGAAAAAAATCGTTAATTCGTAAAAATTCCATACATTTTGGTCCCCTCGTTAATTCGTAGTATTTGGCGCAACGCAAAGTATATTGAACCTCTTATAAATCGTAATTTTGTTTCGTAACCGCTTAAAAATCGTAATGCAATGCGAAATTTTTTGTAGTTAAAGCACCGTTAGATTTTGCAGACAGCTATGCCGCCTTTATGGCGCTATGCATTATGAATTTTGTGTTTCCCTCGTTGTTTTTCGTAAAGCTAGGAACACACGATGCAAACAATTTGCAGCAAGTTGAAAATAATTTGCAGCAAAATTTTGCACAAATGTTTACACCTATGCAAATATTGCAAGAACATTTCTTGCTTCAATCAATTTTTGTTTTGCACGCAAACTTTTTTTTATAATCTTGTGAAGAGACATCCTATAAAACGGAATGATTCTCGTATAATTCAATCAATTTAATCGTGTTCTCGCGATCCCACATATTGCTTTGCTTGCTGCAATATTGCGATTTAAAGCAAACAGCACATGCAAACAAGCAAGCAAATTATGCAATAAAGATGGCGGTAAAAAAATGTATACAGACGACAAGCAAAAAATATTGCTGCAAAAAAACTGTGCAAGTTCTTTGTTTGCAGCAAAATGTTTTCACTCGTGTTTATACGAGCAAATTTGGTTGCAGCAATCAACTTGCTGCAAATTGTTTGCATCGTGTGTACCTAGCTTTATAGGTTTAGAAAACGCAATGAAAAAAATAAAAGAAAAAAAACACCAAGCAATCAAAAATTACCAATTTTTTTAAAGATTGAATTTTTGTTCTTTATAATTTAATGTTTCTGCTCAATTGTTTAATTTTTGGTTATTATAATTTTATGTTATTGTTTAATTTTCCTTTAATTTGAAAAACGTACTGCTGGACAATTAAAAGGGACCAACCAGAAGCTAAATATTAAAGAAAATCTTTCATTACTAAGTAATTTATATATAAATTAACGTTTCATTTACGTGATCTGTATTTTTTCTTAATATTTTAAATTACTCAATAGAATAAAATCCTTGGCTAGCAAATTTTTTAACTGTTTATTTTTTCTTGCAATCACCAATTAAAGAAAAAATATCAAAAAAGTCCGTGTGACACGAAAAGCTTGAATTTTGTTGACCAGTGTTATCGGCAGATACGTATATACCCTTGCAGTCATATTTGATGAATGCTCATCAAATGCATAAAGGCTAAACAACATTTTCCATAAATTGGAATAAAGTGGCCGGTATGGCGACTCTTGGAATTTACTAGAAACTTCGTTTCTTGGAAATACGAGGTATTTCGCGGAATTGGTGACGGGTCAGTCGGAAAAAAAATCGGATGTAGAACTTGGAACATATTCTGGACTTGAAAAATGTTGGAGGAATCGGAGCCGCGGTATCGCGTTCCTCTATTCGACGGCAGTAATTTTGGGAATTGGAAATTCCGAATGGAAACACTGCTAGAGGAACTCGATCTCAAACAATTTACGGAAACGTCGCTGGAAACTCTTACAGATGAAGCGGAATCGGAAACCGAGGTGGAAAAACTGAAACGGCTCGACCGGAAGTGCAAGTCTCAAATACTACAGAGGATTGCGGACAGCCACTTGGATTATGCTAAGGAGAAGTACAGCGCGCATGAATTATGGACGTCCTTGAAATCTACTTTCAAGCGTAGAGGAATCGCAAGTCAATTATTATTAAGAAAAAAAACTGTTGACCACTAAATTTAATCCAATGAGTGAAACCCTAAACTCATTTTTTCTAAAATTTGATACACTTGTTAGAGAATTGCGTCATTCTGGTGCCACTCTGGAGGAAAACGACGTTGTTTGTCATCTGCTGCTCACGATGCCAGCAGAATATAATACAGTAGTGACGGCGATCGAAACTCTGGCTGCTGAGGACGTGGAAACTTCGTTCGTCAAAAATCGCCTCCTAGATGAAGAAACCAAGAGGAAGGAACTGAAACCTCACAATTTATCCAAGAGCGAGCCAAGCAAGACAGCTTTTGCAGCTGGAAAAGGAAACGTGTGGGGGCGTATTGGCGCACGTTAAGATGCAGGAAAGAATGGAACTGGATTCAGGAATAATTCGAACAATTTTCCTTATAAATGTTACGCATGTGGTCAACCTAGGCACAAACGTGTAAATTGTCCGAAGAAAATCCAAAATTCTAGTGCGAATTTAGCAAACGATGATGATTTTTGTGTTTCAGCCTCATCCTTTGTGGTGGAAAACGGAACAGAATTCGTCTTGGACTCCGCCGCATCAGATCACTTGGTTCGAGACGAGGAGGATTTAATCAACCCAAGAAAATTGGAACACCCTATCCTGATCAATGTTGCCAAAGCAAAGACGTCGCTGGAGGCCACGCATGTAGGGGATCTGGAAGTCCATGCTTGCAGCATGGTCAAGCCGTTGTTGCCTTCCTGATGTTCATGCGCCGGGGCGCCAACCCTGGCCCAGCGAGTCCCGGCAGGCCTTTCTCTTGGGACGCTGACCTCCCCTTCTCCATTTGCAGCGCATGCCAGACCGGCGACGGGGACCGCGCCACCAGCGGGGACGCCAGTAGCTGGAGGACCGACGACGAGCGCCGAAGCCCCCTCTTCGCCCCGCTGTTGCGGTTGTTGCTGCTGCTGTTGCGTTTGCTGCTGCAACAATGTACCCTCCTCTGACCCGCTTCTCGCGCTCCCAATTGCTCCTCAATACAACGTATCGTCTTCCCTCCTTCTACCGACATTTTGGCCGTCATCCCTCTGCGACTTCCTTCCGTAATCCATTTCTGGTACTTGATTTCTTGGTCCGAGAATCACGCTTGGGCGCCAGATGAAACGAACTGTTTTTTTTATTTTCGCTCGCTACGTAAAACGTGCGGATAGCTCAGTTGAGTTTTGTGTGTTCGTCCCACTAAATTTATTGTAGCGTGATCCCGAAACCAAGAAATACGCAGAAGTTAGGTTACATTTCGAATTATACGATGAGTTTATTGATCGTAGATTTACAAATTGATGTTTGATCTTGGCTCTGCTCTCTGGCGACTATAACGCCCCCCGTTGACGACGGCAATGGCTCCCGCGTCGACTCCTGCGGCGGCACGCCTGTCCAGCTTCCTCTGCCTTGCCGAGTCTTTCGAGCACCGGTCGCGTACTAGGCTCGCTACGAGTCTCTCACAACTTGGAGAATGTTAAGCAGAAAACCTTACTCGCAGGGCTAAGCAGCGTTGCCTGCAGTCAACACTATTCGCTCCACCCTGGAGTTCGGTCGGGATTTCGTCGGCCTGGGCCTCGGCAGGTCCTAACTCTCGTGTGGACCGACTTCGGGCACCTTTCGCACAACTCCCTCGGATTTCCGTCGGCTGGCCCTCAGCAGGTCCTCCATCTTTCATGTGAACCGACGATGGGTACCTCTCGCACAACATCCACTGGATCTTCGTCGGCTGGCCCTCAGCAGGTCCTCAATCTTTCATGTGAACCGACGCTGGGTACCTCTCGCACAACATCCACTTGCTCAGACTCCACCAATATCGTCGTTCTCAACTTACCTTGTACCCTCGGGATCTCAGCTTGGCAGTCTCAGCTTATGTAGACGTGACCGTCGTTGGGCTTCTCGACTCGGCAATCTTGACTCCGGATTTAATGGCACTTGGTATGTTCCTTGGGTTTCACTCGCGATGGTACGATCTCACTGCACGACTTTCACTTGACTGTCTTGCCGGGCCTTGGACACGACCGTCCTCCGATGCGGTTCCTTTCTAACTCCCCGCGTTGCACTTGCGCCGTCCTTTTATATCCTCTGCGGGTTCCGTTATCCTCTCCAGACAGCTCACGTGATCGCGTCCAAAGTGCATCGAGGTCCCGTTAATTCACGGTGTCTCCTCTTTGTGCAAACTCACCGTTATATGGGTCCAAAGTCCGCGGATTCACCGTTCGACCTCGATGCCCTTGCCCACTGGAGTCCAAGGTCCAGAGTGGTACCGATATTTCCCTTTTTGGTACCCACTCTTCCGCATGCAGCTCCTCCCGCTGTTGCTATGCAGCTCCCCTGCACTTAATATTGTGAGGAGTTTTACAACTCCTTACATTTGAGAACACTAAGTATCAATTGGCGAAACTTATTCTCTACAGGCGAAGCTGCGGAGGCTCTTGCTAGTTTTTTCTAAAGTTGCAATTTTTATACCTTTGCAGAGCAAGAAATAATCATTGAGCCTCAGAAAATTAGCCCTTGCCTGATTTTTCTTCAATTGCCATACCTACATTTCGTAAATCAGTTCGAAAGTAAAATGATACGGCTCTTTAGACTGCGTTAGTGTTATTGCTCGGGAAAAAATAAACCTACAGAATTCGATACCGGGCATAAATCAAGTAACCAGTCAAGTGAGTTACGAACATGGTTTACGCGAATCAAAGGTATGTCAGAAAATTTTAAAACAATTATTTTAAGCTACCCAAAAACAGTGGCCTACCAATTTTTTTAAATCATACATTTTATTTATGCTCTTTTGTGTTTTATTAAAAGGTTTAAAGTAAGCTACTAACCTTAAGCATAGCATCTTGAGGTACACGGTTATCTGTAATCATACATGTTGCAACTTGTAGTCGCAGAAGGGGGTCCCTTATTAAACTTGCAGCACATGCATGGTATATATTAGCTTGGCATTCTATAGGTCCGTGCTGACAATCGAAAGTTGTTTCGTCATTAAATTCGATTGTTGTTGCCTTGCCATAAGGCGCAAGATGCACCTCCATAATTGAGGCAGCTACCTTAAATGTTGGAAGTAGCTGCTTAGTTAGAAAATGTTTAGAGTCTGGACACAAAGCCTCATAAAACACCATAACCACCACTGGAACTGACTCCCGCTTATTACTTTCTAAGAAAAGTTGTTTCTGTAAATAAAAGAAATCAGAACTTTGTATGTTAAAATACAGATCGTTACTTGTTGCGCATACAAGACCACTGTCTTTTTAACTATAATTATTAGAGTTGCCACGAATAGTGATCTAGCCGAATACCGAATGTTCGGCAATGCTATCAGCCGAAGCGCACAAAGTACATGCTACGTTGTTGCCAGTTTAGCTTATTATAAGCTAGTTCTACTATATTTGAAACTAGAAAAGCTGCTAGCTTATTTGAAATTTCGAATTCTGCTAAAATGTATATTTCTTCTCCCGCGGGTAGCCTGTTAGTGAGAGGCTGTTTTCTGAAGCTGGTATTGTTTATGACGAAAAGCGTAATCGTGTACTACCGTCAAATGCTGAAAAATTTGTGTTTATCCATCACAATTTTCCGCTGATGAATTTTACTTATTAAGGGGCAAAACTAGTGTGCCGTCCTAAAAAAATTGTGATTTTTGGGAATTTTTATAAAAAAAACTTCTTGATCAATTCTTTTCAAATTTTCAGAATATATTTATACATGTTTTAAGAATGTATAGTGAAATTTTTAAAGAAAAAAGTTAAATATTTTTTAAGTTATAGTCGATCTCCACGGCGCTAAAAAAAAAAGTGCCTTAGGGGGTTATATACCTTTTTCAGAATCAAAAAATCGAAAAAAATTTTATGATTTTTTTTTTGATGTACATACTTTCAACAATTTTTCTGCAAAATTTTTTAGAAATCGGGGCACTAGAACCTAAGATACAGCCGTTCATAGCGCACGGTGTGCATGACTACCTAATGTCCACCTAAAACTTTAAACGCGATTATCTCGGAATCGCATTTTTGAGAAAAGGTCGTTGCGGTGAGCACGATATCTCGGTAACCACTACATCGATCGATTTGAAATTTTGGGGGATTGTTTGTAGATACAATAGCTAGTTCGTGAACGAAGGAATTTTTTTTCGATAAATTTTTCTATTTTTTTGGGGCGAAAAACTAAATTATTAGACCTCGAAAAATCGGTTTTTTTGAAAAAATAATCACTGTAACTGTAAAAATTTTTTTTTCGTAAAATCCTTCGTTCACGAACTAGGTAACACTATAACTAACGTAGTTTTTTTTTTTTTTTCGTTGAGCCGTTTTCTTGTTTTCATGCTCACCGTTAGCCACTACTTAAAAAAGGACTTCTGCGGCAAGGACTATAACTTCCACAATTCTCAAAATTTTCACTCGAAATTTTATACGAATTAAGTTAAGGACACGTACTTTGATAAAATGTTTATTGAATTTAAATAAAACAATGGTAACATGCTAAAAAAAAAATAAATAAAAACCCTGTATTTCTCTGGTGAAAAAGGTATATAACCCCTTAACTGCTGCAGTGATTCCGGACCTCTCCGTGGACGTTAAACTAGATAATATTTTCCATACCATGAACTACGATAAAAAAAAAATATCAAAAAATGAGAAAATGGCAGCGTTTAAAAAAAAAAATCGAATTTTAACCAAAATTTTGGTCGTTTTTGGCCTGCCAAAATTCTATTTTTGATGGGATCAAAAAACCGATAGTTCATGGTACGTAGAACTATATAAAGAACATGTAAAAAAATTTGGTAGTGATCGGATCACTAGTTTTTGAGTAATCACTGCAGCAAATTCGGAAAATGCTGATCGTATTCACTGTTATACGAGCGGCTGCTCTTAAAACTGCTATAACTCAAAAACTATTTGAGATATCGATTTGAAATTTTAATATCTTATTTTTAAAGGTGGAATCTACCGAAATATGAAAGAAAAAAAAAAATTTTTTTAAAAAAGTCACAAGTTGTGCCTTTTAAAATATTCTAATTTGATAATAAATACAAGTTTTGATTAATGGGATGTGTTTTTTTTCCATGATTTGTTACTATTCAGCATTTGGCCGAATAGTACCTATTATTCGGCCGAATACCGAATACCAAACTAAGTGGCCGAATAGGCCGAATACCGAATAGTAGCCGAATATTCGTGGCATCTCTAATAATAATTTAAAAGGTAAAAAAGAATACAAAAATAATAAATCAAATCTACAAGCAATCCGCTTATTTATTTTCCAGAGGAATATCAATACTAAAGGTTTTAAAGCAATAGAAACAGAGTAATGTTTCACAAAACTCTAAATGGATAAAAAAAGGGAGCAAGTTTTAGCGAGCCGAAGCTATATACCCTTGCAATTAGAACTCAAATGTAGAAATCGACTACACTAGACTATTTCTCTAGTTTTGTTTGGCTGCTTTACAATATATTATACTTTTCCGATATATATAAAAAAAGCATTTATATATATATTTCCATTGTTGGGTCAGTAAGCTTTTTTACTAACCATTACTTTTGGTGGTGCCCAAGCAAATAAAACCGCACAAATATCGAACTAAATTGCACTTATTTATTAACTGGCACCAAGGCCTTAAATTCACACAGTTAGTGTTTATGTAGGTTTGAATTAGGCAGCCAGACCGATTTGTCTGTGCCTTTTAAATAGCCGAAAGTATGATGGGCAGGCAGACCGATTTGTCTGTGCCTTTTTGCAGCGAAAGGATATGTTAGCAAGCAGACCGATTTGTCTGTGCCTTAGACGAAAGTATATAACGCGAAGGAATAGGCAGGCGATCAGCGATCGTGCCTTCTTGTAAGCGAGTACCAAATCGAACTATATAGCAGCTTGCCGTGGACAAAGGCCAGGAAGCGATAAGCGAAAGAGTGCAAAAATAGTTAGAAATGACAATTAGAACAGTGTTTCCGCGCAGGGCAAATAGCAAAACAAAAGGCAAACATCGAGAATTTGAATTACGTTACGATTTGAATTTAGTGATTTTATTTAGGCTGCGGCATGACCAGGACGAACCATAACGAAATGATAAACGCCTAGGCAAATGCTTTACAACATTATTTTTATACCCTTTCACAGCAAAAGGGTATTATATTTTCAGTCAGAAGATTGCAACGCAGTGAAAGAGACACCTCAGGCCCCATAAAGTGTATATAGAGTATTCTTGATCAGCATTACGATCTGAATCCAAATTCGTCTGTACGTCTGTCTGTCTGACCATTTGTCCGTCTGTCTGTCTGTCCGTTTCTCTTCAAACTAGTCTCTCAGATTAGTTCTCAGATAGTTATTGCACGCCAGTGGCGTAGATAGGGGGGATCAGGGGGATCAATCCCCCCCCTTGGGTCTGAGAATTATAAGATGATAAAATCGAATTTTTTCCAGGCATGTGTTTTAATGGAAGCATAATATTTTTGAAGCGCCAATATTTATTTTGTCTCAATGTGCAATACGGCAATTAATGGTAAAACTCTCAAAATTGAAAAAGAAACACATATTCTGAGTCATATCCCCCCCCATATCAAAAAGCTATCTACGCCACAGTTGCACGCAGTATATAAGTCGGAACGGGCGACTATATCTGATAGCTCCCGTACAAGAGATTGAAATACAAAATTCTAACGCCGTTGTTTTTGATCAGATCGACTTGAAATGTAGCAGCGGCATTTTTGAGCCTAAATGGCATCCGATTAAACTCGTAATGCCCGAGAGGGGTCGAAAACGCTGTCTTTTCCCTATCATTTTCCTGAACAAGAATTTGGTGAAAGCCTTTCGCGAGATCTTTAGTAGAAAAATATTGCGCTCTTCCTAACTTATCCAATATACCTTCTATATTTGGGATAGGAAACTGGTCATCTACTGTGATTTCATTTAATTTGCGGAAATCAATAACAATACGCCATTTTTTTAGTTCCTTTGCTATCGCGTTTTTTTGGTACAAGTCATAAAGGGGCATTATATGGAAATTGCTTTTACGAATTATTCCCTGTTGTAGCATTTTTTTTAATTTGCTTGTATATTTCTTGCTCATGTATTTGAGGGTATCTATAAATCCTACAATATACAGGTTTATCTACTACTGTTTTTATCTGATGCTTGATAATGTATGTATTGCTAAGACATTGACCTTCAAGAATTATTAATGTTTTAAATCTACTTAAAATTTTAGTCAGAGCATTGTTTTCTTCTTGATTTAAATTACACAGTCTTACAAAATTCAAAAAAATTTTGTAGCTAATACTTGTAAGAAAGGCGAAAAATTAAAAATTGCCTCTACTGCGAAATTTCTACAACTAACTAACCCTTTTTTTGACGCTTTTTGTAGTCTTTCGTCACCCCCAACCCAAAAAAATATACCCCATCTCCGTTGCAAAATCTTTGTAAGACAGTGTTATTTAAAAGAATTTTCTGTATTGTATTATCTCTTTTAATTGGTTCAGAGTATGGTGAACTATGTATATAATAGTTCATATGTAATAGTATTCTGACAAAAATCAATAACAGCATTTAATGGCTTAAGGCAGGTTCTATCCTTGTGGCAAAAAAAAATAGATTTTTTTTTTTTGCTTATCGTATAGATATATGTTCCGAAAATGTTCTCAAAAAGTTTCAGATCCAAATTTGAAATATTTCAAAAGTTACAGGCCCTTACATGGTGCACATGTCGACCACCGGCCATTGGAAGCCAAAACTTTAAACGCGTTTATCTCGGAACCACGTTTTCGGACCTTACGGAAGTAATTGAAGGCGTTGGGGTTAACCAATCATCATCAAATTTTTTTTTAATGTTCCTAATTATTTCCTTTAACTAATGAACTAGGATTATCCAAAAATATTGAAAACTGTTTAATTGAGAAAATAACTAGTGAGAAAAAAAAAGCGCGAAAATCGATCTTTTTTCAAAAGCTAATAACTTTTGCAATTTTCATTTTTTTTTCTGATCCTAGTTCATTTTATGCAAGTGTAAGGTGTAAGGTTTTAAAGGCCAAAAAAAGGGCCATGTTTGATTTTTTTTTTTGCGTCGAAATGAGTAAGTGTATTTTATTGAGCTTAATTACATGTTATTGTTTTACTTTTGAAGAGTATTAGAAAAAAAATTATTCAAAAATATTAAGAAATAAGCCTGTGGCGGTTAATCTTCCGA